CCTCTGACCCGTGGGGACCCTACAGGGCAGAACTGCCCCTCTGACTCGTGGGGACCCTACAGGGCAGGTAGAACAGGTCCTCTGACCCATGGGGACCTTACAGGGCAGAACTGCCCCTCTGACCCATGGGGACCCTACATGGGTTTCTGCCCCCATGGGCTTCTGAGCCTCTCTTCCTGAGCAGAAAGCCTCATCTTCCTCCCATGGAGCAGACTGTTAAATGCTGAAACATGGAATAGGTGCTTCAGTTGCAGTGCCACTAGGTGGCCACGACAGGGGCCACAGGGGCTCGACGAGGTCCCAGGGGTGGGAGGTAGGGGTGGTCATAGAGACTCGGGGAGCCCAGAGGTGGTACAAGCAGGTGTCCGGGAACTGCTCTGTGTGTTTGGGGAAACCACTCGGCCTCTCGGCCTCAGTGTCCCTGTTTCCACTTAGGGACTGGGGTTGGCCTCTGCCTCTGAGCTGCCTGACCTGTCTCCTCCCTGTTTCCCACCCCCGACACTTGCCCCTCCATGCTACACCCACCACGCCCTCTGCTTGACCGGAAGGGACGAGACTGGAAGGCGTAAACCCGGGCTTCGTCCATAGCCCCCAAGGGCCCAGGCAGTCACCCCGCTGGGTCCCCTCCCTCTTCTGCTCTCGCCTCCCTCCGATAGAAGCCCAAGTTCGCAACCAGGACCTCTCTGAGCCCATTGCTTGCTACTCTCCCCTCCCTTGCTCCGTCCCAGCCACTCAAAGCTCTGTCTCTTTCTCCAGCACACTGACCATGCCCCACCCGGGCCTTTGCCCCTGCTGTCCAACCCCGCCTGGACATGATCCCCTAAACCTGCGTGTCCTGCGGGTCTTTTTATTCGAATGTCGACTTCTCCGTGGAGCTTTCTGGACCAAACTGCTTAACGCTGCACCTTTACCCTGAGAGGGGAGGACCCAGCGTGATGGAAAAAAGCGACGCTCTCAATGATGGAGGCAAGGTTTACAGTTCAAACCCACCCGGAAAACAAAACAAAGCAAACCACCACCCAGAGGTGCCTCCCAGGGAAGACGTGGCAATCCCTGTGTGGCCCCTGCAGGCCTGTCCTGCAGCACCTGGTGGCAGCACCTGGTGCAGCAGGTGCTGATGTCGACTCCACGGCACTGGCTTGTCTGTTCGCTGTGGGTGGCACAGCCCAGCACCCTCGACCACCTTCTCCGCTCCGTGCTTCTGCACAACTGTGCCACCCAGAGTGGCTCAGACCAGCCGTTCGCAACCTGAGGGTCGGACGACCCTTTCACAGGGGTCGCCTAAGACCATCAGAAAACACATATTTCTGATGGTCTTAGGAACCAAGACACCGCTCCTCTATCCGTCTCCAGGGGGTCTGCCCACATGCAGATCCGCCCACAGACGAGTACCCGGTGTGAAGACTTATCCATGCTGCACCATGCTTCAAGACGACATTTGATTTATTTGTTATTAGAAATAAATATTTCACAATATATAATGACATATTGTTTTAGGGATGAATCACTGTGCTTTAATGATGTTCAATTTGTAACAATGAAAATACAGCCTGCCTATCAGCTATTTACATGACGGTTCATACACATTCCCACATAACCTTCATTTCCTTCTGGAATGATAAATCAAAACCAGACTGACCGAGTCGGTGCTGGCTCATAGCCACCTTACAGGACAGGGTAAAATTTGCCCCATGAGGTTCTGAGACTATAACTCTTTACAGGAGTAGAAAGCCTCCTCTTTCTCCTGAGGAGCAGCTGGTGGTTTTGAACTGCTGACCTTGCAGCTAGCAGCCAAACCTCTCACCACACCACCACAGTGGCTCCTTGCCAGCCTAGCAGACGGGAAAAGCCGTTCCATACTCCTATCTTGTGCCGCCTTCGTCCCCCAATAGCATGTGCCCACGTCCCCAGGCACTGCTGATTCTACTGCCTTCACCCCATGCTTTCCTCGCCTCCCTCGGTCCTGCTCCAGGCTGACCCCCAGGACCCGATCACTGTCACTGCGACATCAGGGGCCATCCATCCCCTGAGGGGTCCGGAAGGAGGCAGGGAAAGAGGAAGGCTGCCATCTTTATTCCTTCCTTAACCTCTCACCCTCTTTTCCCTCCGTCCCTGCCCTGACCACGCTCTCTCTAGGCTTCAGCCGCACGCACGCAGCCTCCTTGCTCCCTTCAGACGTTGGGTCACAGGGCCCCCTGCTGCCCAGGGCCCCTGGGTCCAGGCTTCCCCACGCCTTCATCCATGCCAGCGTCTCTCTCAGAAGCTCCTCATCCATTGTCCTCAGTTGCCTCTGGGAGGACAGCCTTGGACTGAGAGGGACTTGCACTCCGTAAACGTTTACCGAGCGGGCGAATGCATGCATCATTATAGAAAGTATGACTGGAAGTCAACACAGGCCGTGGGCACCCCAGTGGCGTGGTGGTTAAATCACTCTGCTGCCAACCGGAAGGTCGGCAGCCCCCGGGGCAGGAGTGAGTGGGGGAGGGGGAGGCTCTCTGCTCCAGCCAAGAACTACAGCCTCAGAAACCTTAGGGAGTTGTACCCAGCCCAATAGGATTGCTTTGAGTCACAATGGGCTCAGTGGCAGTGGGTTGGTTAGAATATCCTCGTAGGGTAAGCAGCATAGGGCTGCTAACCATGAGGTCAGTGGTTCGAATCAACCGATCGCTCCACCGGAGAAAGTTGAGGCTGTCTGCTCCCATGAGATTAACAGCCTCAGAAACCCTAAGGAGCCCTTCTCCTCTGTCCTGCTGGGCCTCTATGAGTCAGACTCCTTCCCCAGCAGCAGCTTTGGCTTGGTGCCCTGGTGCTCACGGCGCCCGCTAAGCTTGCTGACTCACAGTGGCTCTTTGGGTGGGTACGTGCTGTCAGTTCCACTGAATAGGCAGAAAACTTAGGTGGCCTCTGGTAGCAACGTTTCTTCACCTCACCATGCCTTGAGGTCCCTGGATGGAACTAGCGAGGGCCCACAAGCCCCTCACTCCAACACCTCCTCCTGCAGCCTGGTAGCCTTCTGGCCCAGCACCTTCACTGTTGAGGGCCCCACCCCTGTCTCAGGCCCAGGGTGGGGGTGGAATCCCCCATCCACCTTCCCAGTTTCCACCTTCCCAGTCCCTCTCCCTACCCGGTCCCCAGAGACAAAGGCCAAATCAGGGGAGGGTTAGGATGGATACCAAGACCTCCAGGAAGAGATGGAGGCACCAGAGGGGAGGGAAAGCCAGGCATCCCTTCCTCTCCCCCCCTCCCCTCCCCACCCCTGCCCGGCCCAGGGGCTTCCTGAGACAGGACTACTTCCTGGGACAGATGCCTTCCCACAGGAGGAGAACCCACTGGTGAAAGGCGAGGGGCAGGATAGACAGGTGTGGAGAGGTGAAAGCCGTCCCCAGACAGAAAGGGGGCATCTCAGATCTGCCGTAACCCCTCCCTACTTCTACACAAACACAGCAGGGACTGAGCACCTCTGTCTCTTGGGATTATCCCACCAGAGCGAGGTAAATAGGAGCCCTAGGAGCATTATGTGTTCGACTGCTGACCACAACGTCAGCAGTTCAAAACCACCAGCCACTTCAAGGGAGATAGAGGAGGCTTTCTACTCCTGTAAAGAGTTACAATCTCAGAAAGCCACAGGGGCAGTTCTACCGTCTGATGGGGTCTCTCCTGAGCCTGGGTTGAGCTGATGGGAGGGAGGGAGGGAGCACCAGGTGAGCACTCAATTAGTAAGGCAGGCACAGGTCGACTTGTGCTTACCTGCTCATCGTCGGTCAAGAACAATTTCCCACGAGTGGGTGCGGTGAGCAGCCCTGTGAAAAGGTTGGCTGCATGTTAGCCCGTGAGCACTGCAGCCTGCTCACCTCGTCAGCTGTTGTTTGAACCCACCGGCTGCTCCGAGGGAGGAAGAGGAGGCTGCCTGCTCTGTGAACATGAACAGTGTGGTAGTTGCATAGTCCGTGGTGGATTTGAGAGGGTTATGAGTGAAGGGTTAGAGTTTAATCTGCCAATCAGGTCACAGCCAATGAGGGCTCTGTGTGGGCAGGGCCTTCTCCTGAG